GGAGGAGGAGAAGGAGGAGGAGGAGGAGGAGGAGGAGGAGGAGGAGGAGGAGGAGGAGGAGGAGGCGGAGGAGGCGGAGGAGGCGGAGGAGGAGGCGGAGGAGGAGGCGGATGAGGAGGGGGGGGGAAGCCAGGAGCTGGACGCCCGGAGCGGATGCGGGGAACAGTGGGCACGGTGCCCAAGAACAGATGCTGACCGAAGCCGACAGCGGCCGCTGGCGGGCCGGCCCAGGCGGGACCCCGGGACCGCTGCCGAGAAGCGCGGACCCAGGCCGGCGCCCAGAGGACGCCTCGGGGATCCCCGGCACGGCCCCAGGAGGGCGCCCCAGCGGGAGCCCTGCAGCGGGGGCCCATGCCAAGAGGCACCCTGCTTGCCTCAGGGGTGCCCTGGGTTTCTTGGGTCTCGATGGTTTTGCTGTGGAAGGCATGGCGTGTCCGCACCAAAAATCAGTGGATACCCTGGGGTGTCAGGGTTGGGTTTCTTGTGTAAGGTTTCTTGTGGTCGGGCCCCTACTCTGTGGCTCACGTTGAGAAGGATGGCATGGCAGTTCGCTTAAGCAACGTCCTTCGTAGACGATAAGGGGTTAGTGATACACCTCACGGGTGCCCCTCCGTGAGTTTTGGAGATCTTGACGGTGGAATCCTTATATCGTTAGCAGGGTTGGATCTCACGGTTGGGGTTATTGTGGAAGGTTTCGTGTGGACTGGCCTCCGCTGCAGACACAGGCCAGCCCAGGGCCATCACCGCGGCCCACATCCTGCAGATGCAGGCGCCCAGAGGACCCCCGCGAGGAGCCCAGGCAGGGGAAGCCTCCTCTGGAGGGGCTGGATGGAGGGTTTCTCCGAAGGGCTCAGGCGACCTGTCGTCCTCCTCCTCCTCCTCCTCCTCCTCCTCCTCCTCCTGGCCTGGCCCAGGGCGACGCCCAGCAGGGCCACCGCGACGCCGCTGGCCTGCCAGATCACCGCCCGCCCAGGGGCCGTGGCTGGGCAGCCCGACAGGATGTGGAATGTCAGGCTGGACTTGAACGCGCCGCAGAGGACGTACGACCGCCTCCGGCCCTGCACGTGGCCCAGCACCAGGAACCCGCCACGCAACCGTGCCAGGGAGCGCTGCGCCACCAGCATAGCATGTCCCACCCGAGGCTGCTGGCACATCGCGGACATCCTGGGGCATTTGGGGCACTGCCGGTCGCAGCTCGGTGTGCCACATCCGGAGTGCGTGCCGAGCGGCATCGGCTGCCCATTCAGCAAGGCACCCGGCGTCGGCCCGGGCACGAACATCCTCCTTGCAGGCTGCCAGCGCGTCTCCCACGCGGGACAGCAGCCACGCGGGCCAGTCCGAAAGGTGCCACCTGGCGCGGAGTTCCAAGGAAGCCTTGGCCCATGTCCGGCCAGCGCCCCAATGCGCTAGGAGGAAAACCTTCAGGAGGTGAAAAAAACACACAGACACAATTAATCGTCCCCATCAGGAAACTATGGGAACATATGGGAAGTGGGGGGGAAGACCAAAACCCAGAAAATATAGGAAAATATGGGGGATTCGGTTATTTGTCTGTATTTATTTGTGTGTCCCAGGGCCCCTTCAAACCACCCCGTAGAGGTCCGTGATCGCGAGGGCCGATGGAGCTGCACGCCAGGTGGCCACTTCTGCTGCAGCAGGGAGGAGGAGGAGGAGGAGGAGGAGGAGGAGGAGAAGGAGGAGGAGGAGGAGGAGGAGGAGGAGGAGGAGAAGGAGGAGGAGGAGGAGGAGGAGGAGGAGGAGGAGGAGGATCACCCAGACGTTACCCAGCCCAGTTCGCCCGCGGCCACGCGGTGCCGGCGCCCTGGCGGGAGGCCCAGGGAGGAGCTGCGCCCATGGCTCGCGGGACGCACCGTGCGCAGCGCCGCTGGTCTCGGGCACCGCCCAGGGCCACCGCCCCAAGCGGAGGCCCTGCTCTGTCGGATTCGGGCAGCTCTTTCAGTCGGCCCGGATTTTAGTAGGTCGACCCTGCCAAATCAAAGGGTACCCCTAGGTACCCTTTATGTCCTGTGCCTCGCGACCCATGCCTCCTACATTCAGGAGGAGAAAAAACACACACAGACACAAGTCATCGTCCACTCTCAGGAAAAGATGGGAAAATACGGGAAGTGGGGGGGAAGAGACAAACCCAGAAAATATCGGAAAATATCGGGAATCCTTTTATTTGTGTGTGTGTGTGTGTTCATTTGTGTGTCCCAGGGCCCCTTCAAAGAGGGCCGCCGCGGCGGCCAACGCTGCGGGAGATGCAACCTGCGAGGACGCAGCGCCGAGGCGTTGAGCACCGAGGGAGGCCATGTCCAAGCTTGCGTCGGGCCCGTCCCTCTAAAGGGAAGATTCAAAAATAGGCTAAACCTAGTCTGGGGACAATCTTTTGAGTATGTTCGGGCATCGTTTGAGTACAGCCGGGGCCCTGAAGAAGGAACCCTTTTGGTTGGGGAGGGGCTCCGTGTTACTTAATTGTTTCGCAGCTTGCCTTAGGTTTTCCTCAGGTTTTCGACATGACATCGAAGTTTAACTTCTGGAAAATAGGGGCCTCGTTCCTTATTTAAGTCGGGGTCGACACCCCGACTGTATTTTTTTTGGGGGGGGTATTTTAATTTTTCGTCCAAAATCCCGCTGTAGGGGGACAGGCCCGACCTAAGTCCAGGCCCCCGCGCCGCGGGCGGCCCAGCCAGTTGTGTTGGGGCGGGTGATTTTCAAAACGTGGCTCGCGCCTTCGCGCCGCGCACATTCGTTCCAACTTCACGGACTGAAGGCGGGTCGTTCTCGAACTGTGGCTCTCGCCCCTGCGCCGCGCACATTCGTTTCAAAACACTACAAGAGTTTCACGCATTGGCATGGCCAACGTACCAGAAGCTGCGTTCTGGAAATATTCGTGATTATAAGGGCGCAACAGGTACGTGGATTCGCGATACTGAAGTCCCAGGAATGGCGGTCTAGCACGACTCGGGATTGTCAAGGCGCAACAATCAGGTTGAATCGTGGCGGTGGAGTCCCGAGAATAATGCTTTGGCATGCTTCAGGGTCTTCAAGCGAATGCACGCGGCGCTAAGGCGAGAGCCACATTTTGAAAACCACTTGCCCTCCATCTGTGAAACTGTTGCCAATTTTGAAGCTTCAGATTTATAAATGATGAGGGAGTCTCAGGCGAAACGCCCGGCCCGCCCTTTCGACTTGCCTCGGGGTGCGACTGGGAGAAGTTGTTTATAAGGAAAAGGAGTGGAGGAGAAGGATGAGGAGGAGGAGGAAGGAAGGAGGAGGGAGGAGGAGGGACGAGACTGAGGAGGAGGGCAGAGGAGGACAAGTGGCGGTGATGATGTCTGATGATGATGAGGATGAGGATGATTGTGATGATGCTGATGTTGGTGATGATGATGATGATGATGATGATGATGATGATGATGATGATGATGATGATGATGATGATGATGATGATGATGTCTGATGGTGATGATGAGGATGATGATGTCTGATGATGACGACGATGACGATGATGGTGATGACGATGCTGATGCTGATGCTGATGCTGGTGCTGGTGCTGATATTGATGGTGGTGATGATGATGTTGCTGTTGATTTTTATGATGGTGGTGGTGGTGATTATTCCATCGACGACCATCGTGATGATGCTGATGATGTGGCATGGTGATGCTGATACTATACTCGATGACGAGGAGGAGGAGCAGGAGGAAGAGGAGGTCCAGTGCAAGCCCAGGACGCATCAACAATCTTGCAATATGCCCTCCCTCCAAATTCCCATTGCAGAGGCCCCCACAAGATTATATGCCCATGCGGGACATGCCCCATGGGAAGACAGCAGTCTGAGAATCCCCAATCGTGCGAAATTACCATTCTTTGGATTCCAGCGCCGCGAATCCACGCGACTGTTGCGTGCTGGCGATTCCAGATCGTAGCAGAACACCATTTCTGGGATATCACCCGTACGAACCGTTGGAACTCTGCTGTGAACCATCGGGGCTAATGTGCGCGGCACGAAGGCGAGAGACACGTTTTGCAAAGGGGGCAGTCCTCCACCCTTGTGGTTGACGCACACTCTTTTACGGAGACGAAAGTGCGCGGCGCCAGGGCGAGAGCGACAGTTTGGAAACGACCCGCCCTCCATCGCTGATACGGTAGAGGGAAACAATTGCTGAACACTCCCCCTCCCCCCCAAGCTCAATGTTGGCACGCGCGGGGGAGACTGCGGTCGAAGTGAATCTCATCAGACCCACCGGCAACTTTGAACACTGGGGGAAGGGGGATGCGTTGACGGATGAATGTGGCATATGTTCGCTAATTTGTTCCGAGGCCTGTTCGGTTGCAAGCGTTTAACACAAACGTGCGCGGCGCTAGGGCGATGGCCCCACTTTGAAAACGACCCGGCCCTCCTTCGTGAAGCTGTCGCGAGCCTGCAGGACGAACGTGCGTGGCGCTAGTGCGAGAGCCACATGTCGAGAACGACCCGCCTTCCATCCGCGTGACCCATCAGGAAAATATATGGGTGATGAGGAAGAGGAGGAGCAGGATGAGGAAGAGGAGGCGGAGGAGGAGGAGGAAGAGGAGGAGGAGGAGGAGGAGGAGGAGGAGGGAGAGGAGAGAGCGAGAAAAGAGGGCGGAGGAGAAGGCGGGGAGGAGGAGATAGGGGGAGGAGGTAAGGAGAGGAGGAGGAGGAGAAGGAGGAGAAGGAGGGAGGAGGAGGAGGAAGGCTGAGTAGGAGAGGAGGCTGAGGAGGAGAGATGAGAGGCGGAGGAAGAGAGGAGACGGAGGAGGAGGAGGAGGAGAAGGAAGGAGGAGAAGGAAAGAAGAGGAGGAGGAAGAGGATGAGGAATGTCAGCACGATGGTAAGCCCTCCCCGCGCGCGTGCCCTCGGTCTCGCGCAGGGCCCCTGCGCTTCGCGTGGCTGCCGGGCACTTCGGCCTCGGACCCCGTGCGGGAGGCCTTGTCGCGGGCCCTGGCGCGCGAGCTGGACGAGGCCAAGGCCTCGCTGTCGTCGATCCACGAGGGCAGGGGAGGAGGAGGGGGAGGAGGAGGAGGAGGAGGCGGAGGAGGAGGAGGAGGAGGCGGAGGAGGAGGAGGAGAGGAGGAGGAGGAATAGGAGGAGGAGGAGGAGGATCAGGGAGGAGACGGAGGAGGAGGAGGTAGGAGGAGGGGAGGTAGGAGGAGGAGAGTGATGAGGAGAGAGAGAGCAGGGATGATGATGATGAGGTGAGGAAATGAGGAGGAGGAGGAGGAGGAAGGAGGAGGGAGGAGGAGGAGGAAGCAGGAGAGACGGAGGAGAGGAGGAGGCGAATGAGGCGGAGGAGGAGGAGGAGGAGGAGGAGGAGGAGAGGGGAGAGAAGGAGGAGGAGGAGGAGGAGGATGACGAGCAGGAGGAGGACGACCAGGAGGAGGAGGACGAGGAGGAGGAGGAGGAGGGGGAGGAGGAGGATGAGGAATAGGAGAAGGAATAAGAGGATAATGATGGTGAGGAGGAGGAAGAAGACACCACATGCTGCTAAGCGTCTCAGAAGCTTCTAATAAGCTTCCAGAAAGTTTTTCCTGGAAGCCTCCAGGACGTTTTTGTTCTTTAGGGGCTACAGTTGGCCCTGATTAGTAGGTCGACCCTCCCAAATCAAGAGTACCCTTGTGTCCTGTATCTCGCGACCCATGCCTCCTACATTCCTATGGCAATGTGGCTCTTGGAAGGGTCTTGTGTCCTCTCGCGCGTCCTGTCCAATCAAATCCAACTGTAGACAGAGGACAGGGGAATCACCCACCTCGGCCAGGGAATGACCCGTGAAGCCGGGGAGCAGCCCTTCTGACCACGGAAGGCACCGTCGCCGCCGCCGCCGCCGCCAGGGCAATACATCTATATTTACACATATGCAAACATACACATATATGTAAATATGTATATATATACACATATATACATTTACACATATGTATATATATAGATGATAGTACATATACAAGATTTTGAGGCTCGCTGCGCTTCGCCTTCAAATCTTGATCCTTGCACCTGCATGTTTTATTGACTCGGCGGTTAGCATATTGATGTAGCCGCAGTGTTGCCACGACCCATACCCGAACCTGACGCTAGGGGGCCAACCTGGCGCAGCCCCGATTGGCAACAGACACGACGCGTTCCGTCCAAACCGAACGCCAGGCTCGGCACTCGCCCAGCAGCACGAAGTGACGGCAGCTGCGGCCGCCAGCTGTCTCGCGCCGGAGGTGGCGCTCGTAGAAGACGGATGTAGCCGAGGCTCACGCGAGAGGACCAGTCTCACACACGGACGCGGCCGGCGCTGGGGCGGAAGCACAAATTTTGGAAATGGATGTGGCTGGCGCTTGTATATATATATATATATATATGTATATACTTCGATTAGGGGATCGACTACATAATCGATTTACCCCTAGATTGATTTTCCGTCGAATCCGAGAGGAATGCGCAGGATGCTCCGCAGATCTACTGAGCCTCCTACGTCATGTTCGCAGCTGCGCTGGAGAAAGCACCTTCGGGGTACATCAATTTTGTAGTCTATCTTGGAAATAGATGTGGCTGGCGCAGAAAAGGAAGAGGGACGGATAAAAACGGAGAAAGCAGCACAGCAGGACGATGAGGATCGGGGATCTCCGTTCCCATGTTCCAGAAGTGCGCTTCCGGAACACGTGGCTTGCAGTGCACGCGGCCGTCTTAGTGGTAAGAATGGTCGCGGGCATCGCACCTGAGCGGCGACCTCAACTAGAACCTCAGCGCGCGCGATGGTTCTAGTATATATATATATATATATATATATATATGCTGCCGTCCGCGCGCGTCGCCGCCGCCGGTCGCAGGTCGCCGGTCGCAGGCCGCCGCCGTCGGCGCGGGCCGCGGCCGGTGCCCCAGGCGCACCGCGCGGGCGCGCCGCTCGCCGCGCTCGGCGACGCCCCGAAGCCCGCGGCCGCGGGCGGCTCCGAGAAGGCCCGCGGCCGCCCGCGCCGCCGCGCCCTGGCCGTCCCGGCGGCGGCGGCGGCGGCAGTCACTGGCCACGCGCAGAAGGGGGTAGGGGGAGGGGGGA